GGTTATACCTTGGTGATAGCCACATTATTAGATCCTTAGATTAGGAGACCCCACCTGAGTTATGAGGCATTTAAAATTCACATTTCCATGTAGATGTCATGGTCTTAGTTTGCACTGACCATTTGAACTAAAGAATTGCCAAATCTCATGTGGAGCTACCAATACTCACTCTCACTCTGTCTACACAGCTCTTGATCAAGATGTTCCTTCTTCATGTGACAGGGAGATGGAAAGGACTCTGCTAGGTCCCTTGGGGTGAGGACCATTTTTTGGAAAGCTTTTCCTGGTGTCTGAATGATGACAAAACCCTTCTCTGATTTCCTAGTCCCCATTCTGCTTCCAGTCTCGCCGTCACTTTGGATCTGGATATTTTAAAGCTGAAAGGAGGTGATTCCCCTCAGAATGATTTCGCTTAGACATAGAAGTTTTTTGTTTTTTGTTTGAAGAATTTGCCATCCAGAGAAAGGGGTGTATGTCTTGCTCTGTATTCTTCAGGTAAACAAAGAGAGACCCCCAAATAGGCATCCATTGTTGCCCTGAGATGGCATCGCCCATCATCATTTCACCAGTGTGCCCTCCGCTAGATTGTGGCGTGTGTTGCTTGGGCTGTTTTTCATAGCCTCCGCAGCTGGGAATTCAAGATGCTATACTTAGGCAGAAGTCCATGAAGGAATTAATTGATATGAGCCAGAAGTTGATTGCCATTTAAGTACTCAGCCTTCACCATTGCCAAGTTTCCCTCTTTGTAGAAAGAACTGAGCTTGCCTGCAAACTGGCTCATTCAGGATGTGAGCACAAGATGGAATTCAACCTTTAATATGCTGCAACACCTGCTTGGAAATAAAGGGGCTCTGTGATTTTGCCCCCAAGGAGTTGACAGCTGACTTCATTACAGAGGAATCTGGCCGAGATGGTCGTGGCTACTCCTCAGCCTCCGGAGGCACTCACCCAGGAGTGCAGTGCCAACCAGACCTGAGCTTTGGGATCCTGCCAGAAACCCAGGCTGGGCCATTTTATCTTAAATTATTCCTCTTTCTTGAACTCTAGGAGTTTTCAGTACCTTTGGTAGAGCTCCCTCCACACTAGGGAGATGGTAAGAGGCTCTGGCCTGCGCAAGCTAAGTGGAGAAGCATTTGCAGGTGTTCACTAATGAGATCTGGATTTGCAAGTTTTCTTTCTCAAGGGTTCTCAGTGTTTCACCCCAGCAGACACCAAAGCAGGGTGCCATGCTCTACAGAGTGGAACTTGAAGGTTCATTGGAGTCCTTGTCCAAGTTCTGGAAAATACCCAGCACTGCTCCAAGGAGCCTAACCCCATGTGTGGAGGATGCCTAGAGGCTATCTATCTCTGGTGCCTGGATCTCCCATGTAGGCAGGAACACTGGCTATGCTTACCAGCTTTCAAAGGAGAATGTCAACCCTATTACCCATTTGCATGATCTCCAAAGCTTATTAATCTGGCCTCCATTAGCGACATAGAACTAGCATATCTGACTTGCAACAGAGAATGTTGACTTTCTACTATTTGTTATCCTTCATCATTAAAAAAAATCCATCTGAAATCCAAATGTTGAGGAACAGGGGTGGGTTTATAGAGAACATAGCCATTTGGTGGACCACTGCTCAACCTGAAACAACAGAAAAATGAAGTCTACAGAGCACCTTCAAAGCTGCCTATGATGCTAATTTAAAACAAAGCACAACTCAAAACTGTTATATATAAAAATTATATAATTATTTTAAAACAAACATTTAAAATAGCCTGGAATGAGAATACTTAGAAAAAAATAATAGTTGATGCCAGAGGTCAAAACCAGCAATCTAAGTTGGACCTGGCTTGAAAGCCTATCTCATATGGTCCACACAGTTGTGGGGGGGCAGCAGGGTTTGAACAAAAAATGGAGTAGATTGCCAACATTGAAAGATTGGCACATGGCGCATAACCTCCCGGACCGCTGACTTCCCCCGAGACCCTGAGCAATCTGCCTCGGCTTGCTGTTTTCCTTCCAGGCAACAGTTGAGGCAGGTGATGGGGCCCTTGCTCTCTGCCAGAGTCACCACTGGGCCGGATTTCTCACCCACTGAGTTTGTAATCCTGGACCAGGTGTCGGGGGGGGGGGTTCTGGGTCTTGTTCCCCTTTTCGCACTTTTGACCCAACTTGCTATTGGTTCTTATGTTACTTTAGAGTTAAAATAATCATTAAATGCCCAGTTGTAAAAAGTAATGTCAAGGGAAAAGAGTCTGAGGCCACTCCTACTTACCTCCTTCTGGATGTGGTTTTCAGATTTCTGGTCTTGAATCCAGTACAGTTGCCTGTGAATGTTACTGGCCCAGTGGTTCTCAAGAAGCCACACTCACCTGGGGCACTTTTGATGCCCAGCTTGCACTCTAGACTAATTAAGTCAAAACCTATAGGGGTGGGATTCAGGCAATAAGACTTTCTAAAGTCCCCCAGGTGATTCCAGTGTAAAAAGGTCCTTGAAAAATGATATAAAACTTCACATTAGCGCAGTTTCTCAACTTCAGAACTATTGACATTTGGGGCCTGATAATTCTTTGTTCTGGGGACCAGTCCCATGTATCTTAGGATGGTTAGATCTCTGGCCTCTACCCACAGATAGCTTGATATGATAACCACTGCATTAGATCATAAAATTACGGTCAGGAATAGTGGCCATTGCACTGGCCACCTGCCTATACATAAGGCCTTTGAGAATTTTGTTTTGGAATTAGTGTTAGGAAAAAATATCTCTTAAGGAAGTGGTATATGCTTTCTTCCCCCTTCCCCCAACTTTTTTTTTAAACTTTACTACCAGGAAGTTCAGAGTAGATGCTAAAAATGCATGCAAACCCCAAATTAAAGCACAAGACAAATACTTTAGTATATTTTCTCCCCTCTGCACAATGCTGATTTTCCTATTAGCATTTTGTTAATCTTTAATTGCCTTATATTCTTAGAGAATGAAGTAGGAAATGAATACGAACAACATAACAAGCAAGAGGGAGTGAGTGTTCCACACACTGTTCGGTATTTATGACCCAAAGAACGGTTGTTTAGAAGGAAGGACCGATCTGCCATATGGAGCCAATAAGGGTCAACCCCTTCGGTCTCCAGCTTTGTCTGGGATGAGGCTGAACTGTGTGTGTTGACGGAGGCCAGTGGCCAGCAGTATGGCAGTCTCCACAAGAATGCTAAGCACGAGCCTCTGTCGCTTCCTGGGAATTCCAACTCCTGGGGTGGACTAGGAGTCTGGGGAAGTCTCTCAGAGGCAATGCTATTCTAGGCAACTTGGGGCCATCCTTGGATAACACCATTACCTGCTTTCTGTGAAATAAAGAGCAGCTTACTTTTAGTGAAATATAGCCTGCTCATTAATAATCAGAAGTTTTAAAGCTTTTTAAAAAATCATTAAGTGAGGTAATTTCATTTTAAATGCAAAATCCGTGAATAGACCAGAGATCTTAATTTTTTAAATATATTGCTGAGTATTTTAATTATGAATGTACTTGCATATTCTCAGCATACTTCATTATTTATGTAGGCAGTGAAAAAGCTTTTTAATTAAATAGCATGCTGGCAATCCATTGTGAAATGTATAGATGTAGGTTTTCTAGCATTAAAAAACTAAATACACACACATGCACTCATATGCACATACACACAACATTCTAGAGAACATGTGCACTTTAGTCACTATGAGGAACTTGTTTCTGAATAATTTTAAAATTTGGTAACTTTTTTTTTATAGGTAACAAAAGTAGTATAATTTGCTACTTTGCATGGCTATTCACATTTAATGCCCCCAACGAACTTGGAAATGAGGTGAGCAGTGGTTCTCAGTGTGGCTCACACGAGGAGCGTGAGCATCATGGGAACTTCTTAGAATTGCAAAAATTTGAGCCCCACCCCAGGTGGGCAGAATCAAGGTTCTGGGTATCGGGTCCAGCATCCTGGGATAGAACAAGGCCTCCAGGCAATGCTGATGCAGGCTGAGGCTTGGTGAGGGTTGTACTGTGTGGTGCTGGTAATCTGGGTTTCATTCATGGGTCCCCTGGCGACAGGCAGAACAACGAAATGAATTGGTCCATGCTTTAGTTCCCCATCAAAAAAGCGCTGTGAGGATTCTCGCTTGTTTATGGTTTCAAGATCTGCTTGAGGCCCTCAGAATTTCAAAGAGGTAGAAAGAGTCAGAGTGCATGAAATATTTTAAGCATGATGTGTTTGAAAGCTGTCCATTAATATGAAGTATATACTTACCAATTTTGACTAAACATGTATATTAGGTCTTAATTTACACATTGCTATTCTTTTCTTAAAAAAACAAAAACAAAAACCTCTTTGAAATTAAAGGTCCGCTCATGCACCGTTTTGTGGCAGCCACTGGTGCCAGCAATCTTCCAGGGACACTCACGCCTGCGTGAAGGCCGATGACCAAGCGGCATTACCTCCCGTGGTTGAGGAACCAAGGCTGGAAGGTGGAGTGATCTGGAGAAGACCACACTGGGAGTCACCCCAGGGCTAGAACTAACAGCCACTCAGCTCCCTGCTCTGTGCTTTGTCTTCGGAATGAACAAAGCTGCTTCTTAAGTACACATAAGCCAAACTGCCTCTCAAATTGCAGCCATCTACTTTGAGTTCAGATTTGCACAGCATGACATGAATTGGGCTGCAAATTATGCAGAAAACAGCTATCACATCCATCTGTGATGTCAGAATCCTCCAGTACAATGTGACCTGGTAGTATCTGAGGGAGGAGAAGAACATTGGGTCTGATTCCTTCCCTATGCAGTGTGATGAATATCCTCCCGGCTGCATTTGGCCCAGTGTGAAAAGGTTAAATATGATTGAGGTTACTTTACGCCTGTGATATGCTCAAGAGCAGATTTCATTTCCAAGGGTGCAGGCAATTAGTTGGGGTTTTGTTTTTTTTTTGTGTGTGTGTGTGTTTTTTTTAAATGGTAGAATAACTAGAAAAAGAAAACACACAAATACACTCATACCTAATGGTAAACTGAATTTATTTCCTCTTGGAAAACAATTCCAGTAATCTCCAGGTTCAGACCGCAGAGTAAACATTAATAACAGTAACATACAGGTTAGTTCAACTGATTCAAGAATTTGGCTGTGTGAAATCATTAAGGAAAACCTTGAACACTCAAAGCTTCAAATGTATCCAGGAAAAAAAAAAATCTTTGACAGTCTACATAACAACTATTGCATATATAGTGATGCTACCTGTCACATTGCAAGGCTTACAAATATATATATGGGCCTTATCCAGCTGTGGGGTTCTGTGCTGTGAGAACATCTCTTCATGGTTTGCAAGAATCTTCAGCAATAAAAAATAGTCTTGGATTTAACCGTTGATATACCAAAAGAGAAATTCCAGGCTTAAGTGTAAATAAAAGGAAGTCCAAAATAGTCTCATGTGTAACACAGTTGTTTTAATCTGTCTTCCTTAAAATACTTTCTCTTAAGCCATTTTGCTCACTTTTTTTTTTTAAACTTGCCTGAATAGGGCCCAAGTCCACTTGTCTTTATAAGACCATTTTAGTATCAGACGACATAATACATGTGCAACACTTTATATACAAAGAGTCTATCCGGTGCTCAAAAGCTCAAACACATGAACATCCAACAGTTTTGATAATACAAGTTTTATGGTACAATACAATGTTTCTGAATAATATACATTAACAATGAAAGTTTCCGTGCAAAGAGTAAAACATGTTCCCTTTTTGTGCCACAAAAGTCATTCTCCTTGAGAGACTGTACTTGCACTAACTGCTGTGTTGGGTCATCGTATGATTCTGCAACAAAAAAGAGAGGGGGAAAAAACGTAAGTGATTGTATTTTCACCAGACCAAGTGTCTATAATACTGATTGATTTGGAAGGCTGTGAACAATGTGTTTCTGCACCCTGATGACTAGGAGCTCATGGGGGCCCTGACTCCTCACTGCCCCCAGAGGGTGCCAGGAGGGAGAGGCAGGACCAAGGGCCCAGTGAGGTGAGGTGACTGGCCGGTACCTTTCCTTTCCTCTGCCTCTGCTATGCCTTCCCATGATACCCTTCCACATCCCACCATCTCTTCTTATCAAACTATGACCCATTTTCAAAGATCAGGGTAGCATTTTAACAGTTTTCTTTATTTGTGCATTAGTTCCATTAATTACAAATGCTTTTGTTCTAATCACTTTTAGATGGTGAACATCTTGACAGCAGAGGCTCTATCTTTCCCCGAATATGGACTTTAAAGACAAGAGCTGCCTGGCCAATGACTGACGGGGGGGGGGGGGGGGGGGGGGAGGCAGGAAGCTTCTTCGGCTCCCCTCCTGGGGGTGGGCTTGCGCTGTGTCAGGACATGGCTCAGGAGCAGGTCATCCTATGGGGCAACCCCTCCCCCATGCCCAGCTGATGCAGCCTTTGTAGTATTTTGTAGGTTCCTCTCCATCACACAGCATGTCCCCTTTCTTAGTGAACAACTTCTTTCCAAACTGTGAGAGGCCAAATGGAATACCTGGGCTTGAGGCCTGCACAGGGGATGTTCCCATGCATTCATTCGGAGCATAAGCCAAGGGATGGCCTGATTTCCACTGTCCCTCCTCTGCACTTCCCCTGAGCCATGTTCTCTCACCTCTAACCTTGTACGCCATCCTCTACAGTCTTCTGATCAGAACCTGAGGCTTAAGTCAAAATACTACCACTTTTATGTTCATCGCATCTAAAACGGATTTCTGCCTTCTCTGATTTCCTACCGCACTTTATACCACATATAGAGTCTTGTCTTCTGGCCATTTGCAGGCCTGGCACTCTACCTATGTCAGTAATTCTGCTGATCACTCTCTTATTCATTCCTTCACAAGCAACTGTTGAACACTGGTCTCACCCCCTGGCATAGGCCACAGCACCGCAGTGCTCAGAAGAAGGACCTGGCCAACTGACGGGAAAAGGACAGTCCCTGCCTTCATGCCTTCAAAGTCTAAAGAATCAAGTCCTGTGGGCACGTAATGGTAAAATAATATGGCAGAATTACATTAGAAATGGGTAGAGAAATGACATGGCTACCCCTAACCCTGCCTGCCCTTTGCGGAAGGCTTTGCCGTGAGGTAGCACGGGGACAGTTCAGTTGAGGCTGGAAACATGAGAAGGCATTTGAGATGTAGGGAAGGCACTCGAGGTCAAGAGAGCCACATGGGTAAAGGTAACAAAGCAAGAAAATGCAAGGTGTTTTTGTGAACCTGCAACTTGTGCAGATTGACTGGAGTCTTCTAGACTGTCTTGAATGACGAGAAAGGAAAATGGAGCATAGTTTGGGGCCAGGTTACACAGAACCACATGTACCTTGCTAAGGAGTTCAGGATTTGTCTTACAGGAGCTAAGGATGTTTCTTACGCAGAGGGCTTTGTCTTAGAGAACTTTGTTATCTTTTCATCCCTCAGAACACCTAGCAAAATGCCTGCTGGGTGACTGCGTGCTGATGCCCAGCAGTTTGGCTGCTGACGTCTGCCCCGCTGAGGCTGAGGGCACCCGTGAGGGAGGTGGGAGGCTTGTGAGGAGAACCTGGTTTTCTCGTCCGTATTTCAAACTCAGGCCATTTTGAAGAGTGACAACAAATAATAATGATTTCACTGTCCCTTGTGTAAAACATAGCTATTTTAATTAATTCAGTAAAAGAAATATTTTTTTTTCTTCTTAGTAGTCTTAGCCGCAAAGTGAATATAGGAGCAGACTATTTTTATGTCTCTTTTTCTTTGTATTGATTTTAAATACTTCTGAAAAATTTTTTTTCACTAATAGGTAGACAAAAACAGTAATCAGAATACTGATGGGACTAAAAAACTTTCCCATTTCCTTAAAAATCAACATAATTATGATCTGAGAGGTTATAAGCAATGCAAAAGTTCAACTACTCAAAATATACTGTGTATAAGCTTTCTTATACATTTTGCTATCTTAAAGAGTCAAGTCTGGTCTTATAGAAAGGTTTTTTATTTTAAAAAAGAATTTAAAAATAAATACAAGTTATGATAATAGTTACTAAACGACAGGACACTGACAACAGATAGGAATTTTTTTTTTGTTTTACACCACAATCAAAGTAAAAAAAAATCCATTTAATAACATTAAGTTTAAATGTTTACAGTGCTTACAATAGACATTCCACATTCGATAGGATTCTAGAGGTTAATAAAGGACGATATATTGCAAAATCCCCAGCGTTTTTGTACGTGCCAATATCAAGATACTGCAAAACAAGAATCTAACACAAATTGGCCATAATAGTTGCCAATAGTTGTGTCTTGGATGCTTTCATCCTAAACCAAAGCCATATAAGTCTCTTCAGAGCTGCAAAGAAATGAACAAATACATATGAATCACTTATTGCAACAGATTGAAGTTGCTACACTAAAGGAGTTATGCTCTGCATATTAAGAGAGAAGAATATAAATCATTTGAGAGAAGGACAAGAGTATGGCTTGTGAAATTCAAGTATACAGAAACAAACAGTCTCAATATAAATAATGTCTAAATAGAAATCTGGCATGAAAAATGGTAAAGGCAGGAAGTTTCCTTCGTGTGGAGATGTCTGCATATCCTTGAGATCACTTATGAATAGTCATTTTTTTCTTTTTATCCCTGCTCAACTGAAGGCTAGGTCAAGGCCTCCATTCTTGGTGTCTGCCATTATCAGGGACTCTCAAGGTGGGCGTATTCCTTAATAGTCATGCGAAACAGGAATATTTTCATTGAAAAAAAAAAAAACTCTGTCCTCCAAGGCTTGACCTTGCCCCCCTGGAGTATCCTTGGGGTGTGTCTGCTTTCCCCTCCCCCATACTGTACTCTGAGTCACTGAAAATACAAATGGCCTAATTTCATTGTCTGAAGGGAGGAAGGAAGGGAGGAAGGAAGGAAGGAAGGAAGGAAGGAAGGAAGGAAGGAAGGAAGGAAGGAAGGAGGGAAGGAAGGAGGGAAGGAAGGGATGTCTGAGCTGCATAGGTTATTGGGTTTGCTTTTCTGGATTGAAGAGGACAGATGCAGAGTGTTGGCCTCGAGACTTCAAATGTTTCCCTGATAAGGGAAACAAGTTGCTTAATAGGAACCCTCTCTGTATTTTGCGTATTTTGAAACTCAGACACCGTTTCTTTAGAACAGGAGACAAGCAGCAAGAGGGAAAGATGAACAGTAGACCAGAGAAGCACTCAGTGCAGAGAGAGGGTAGGCTCTGCACACGGTTTGCTCCAGCCCTGGCTTCTGGCCATGCCACAGAGCCCGTCCCATCGCTGCAGTACAAACGTGGACGCGCGGGGAGAAAACGCTGCAAGGCCCTCAGCAAGCAGCCTTCCCCGTGTAGGTTTTTGCTCTTAGGTCCAGAGGAAACCACTCCCCTTAGAACAAAGCAGTGGGTAATCTCACCAATTTTACACAGCAATTCACAGTCCCCAAAGTACTTTAATGCAATGACAGGTTATGAGAAAAAATATCTGTTCCAATGAAGGGAAAGTGTTTTACATAATCGGAGAACATCAGCGCAACATCGATGGGGGTGGGGGGGTGATGACAGAAAAGGAAGTAGGGAGAGAAGAAAACTTCTGTAATCCCACAGAGAGCCATATTCTACTCTGCAAAAAGCCATCTCTTGGAGACCCCATGTCTAAGTAACTGAAAATTGCAAACCATTAATCCCAGTTATGAACAGTTGTTTCACATGAGGGGGATTTGTGTTAAAAAAAAAATCAAATCCACAACACACCTTAAAGCTTAAAAGATCTATCTAGGTATGCTACCTGAATAACTAGGTTTCAAAAAACGAAACAAAACAAAAAAAACCCCAAACACTCTCTTTACTGAAAAGGGCCCCATTTGGAAGGAGTGTGTTCTATCTTTTTTTCCTCTTTAAATGTGCAATTAAACTTAGAAAGCTAAAAAACAGATGAGGACCTTACAAATTCCCTTCTAGCACTATGTATTTCTTTTAAAATATGAGATGCCTTTCATTTTACAAGACTGGAATTCTCATTTTGGGCTTGGCACTCTAACAAATGATTAATTCAGCCTCCTTTCTGAGAGCTGACCACATTTACTGGTCAAATGGCTTAATCCTATTTAAAATGCAATCCAAGCAAAATATTTTTAAATAAAAATAAAAACCCATGATCCCCTGAAACTGTTCACCTTGGCCAAGCTACCCCATTTTTCTGTGATCTTGATGTGAATTTGAATATTTGCCCCCATAACAATGATGAAGTTAAGCTTTGGAGGAAAGCCTGGGGGAATCTACCTTCCCAGGGTGGAAAAATTAAGTCCCCATCTCCAAAAGTTGTGCCACAGACTGTCCGATCTTTTGGCACAGGCCACGTCTCATCTGTGCTTTGTAACCCTTTGTTGGCATCGGCAGAATGTTAAGTAGCAATGGTAATAAAAATAAAAACTGCCTTTGAATGGAAGATCTGTTGACTCAAAGATGTTAATCACTTTTACCAAGGCCTGTCTATTTATAGCCCTTTGTCTCAAACAAATTCTGACAAGCTTTTAAAACTAAGAAAAAGAGCCAGCCGGCTATTTTAAAAAGGAATGAAAAAAAATAAATAACAAGCTTTCCACTAATTCACCATGTCATTAGAATCTCGAATTTAAACAGCAGTTGTATTCAGTTTAAATGAGATGTTTTCCAACCAGATGAAATAGTAGGCAATTGTGGCCTTGCAACAAAGCAAGGCAGGAAGAAATAAAGAAATATAAAGATTAAATGTGGCTGTTGCTTTCAACAGATGGTGACAGCACCACAGCAGCATGCTGTTTTTTCCTTTAGTTGAAGAACGCAAACATTTGTAATCAATCATCACTGATTAACTAATTATATTACCCTTCCTTTTACCACGAGAGTTGGACCTTTACCTGGAAACACTATGGATAATCTGTATGCTCTTATTTTTCTGGAAGCATATTCCAGCACACATACAATCGTGCAGTTACAGGCTGCAAACAGAATTCTACATTACTGTCCACCTTTAACCACTACTGCTTTTTTATTTATTTATTTATTTATTTTTTTAAACAAAAGCAATTGGTTTCCAACAGGCTGGATAATAAGTCTTTTGACCTGCATTCTTCTTTGACCCATTAAGGTCACCCCCACGCTCGGGCATATAGCTGACTTAGGAAATGCCTGCTAGCCCTACGTTTCATCTCCTGCCCACTCAAAATAAAGCTTTCTTTAAATGTGTCTGTACGGGTCCCTGAAGGCCAAAGAGACATCCCTGTAGTGGGCAATGGAGGGACAGAAGCTTCTGCCTTTATTAATGAATGCAGACCATTATGAGTCTGGCTGGCTCCTTCCCTGTTCCCAGAAGCATATACTGTACGTGACTTAAAATGCTAGAATATTGACACAAAGCGAGCCGGGCACCCCTAAGGAAAATTACTCCTTGGATATAATGTAGGCTCGTAACAGCTATTAGAGTACAAAATAAAACCCTCCGGGATCAAACTGACATATACCGCATTCTACCTAGTCCTCAAACATTAGAAGAATTTCTTTGTGAAGGCATTCTCAAGGACAGCATTAAACTGACTTTTGTAGCAATCTCCAACAGCATTTTGGCTTAGAGCTTTTAGTACTAAATCTCTGGTTTGAATCAATATAAGTACTATATCTTCTACATTAATCAATACATTTGGTTCAATACATGTTCTATTAAATTATACTTTCTAATCAAGATTTTTACATTTCCACCCTCTCTCTTTTTCATTCCCAACTTCTTTTGCTAGTAAAATAGTTTTAAAAGTGTATATAGATAATGATGACAGGATACTGGGTTATTTCCCCCCATACGTTAGAGAAAAAATTGTCACAACGCAAAGGGCAGCCTTTAAACGTCTTAATAAGGTTAATGGGATGTGAATGTAATAAATTAACATTTTCAAAGTCTGCACAATTACAAAAGTACTCATAGTTTTAAATTAATTAAAAGTGAGTAGCGGCAGCTCTGGAAGCACCATTCAGAATGTTCTAAAAATTATACCGAAGACCCAAATCATCCAAAAGTACCAACTAGACCCCATTTTATCATTGCAAAGCTTCCATTATCCACCAACTATACACTTCCTGGTAATTGTGTTTTTGTGGACTTTAGCTGGTAAATATCAGGAATGTATATGTGAGATATTGTATTTTATTGAATATTCTTTAAAAGACAAATACATAATATTTCCCGAAGTGCTATGAGAATCTAAGAAAATAATTCATATAATGGATTTTTATAGCCAGGGAAGTTGAGTCATAATTTTTACTTTGGTTGAATTGACTAAAATGAGGTTCTATTCCTTTATTTTGACAAAGCAATGGCATTTATGAAACTGTGTCATGATATGCTTTTGCTGCTCTCTTTAATGCCGTGAATGTTGCATTTGTGATCATGTTTGCACTGACAGAATTTCCCTTTTTATTTTTTCACATGTAATGTCATCACCATGAACTTAGAGACACTGACACATTTTCTTTTGACATTTAACAGTTCACGTGGGCTTGGCCTGACATCTCAAAGCATTTTCTGGATGACACTAAACTATATTAAAGCAAAAGGTGATATGGCATCATAAGTGATCAGAAAAATTCAAGTTATTAAAGGCAAAAACGGACTATGGTTTATCTGGTTTGTCCCCTTGCTGGAACAGAATTATTTTATAAAGTTTACACTCCAGGCCAGTTTTAAATGGTTCTGGCAATGAAGTTTCCCTTACACCTCCCTTAGGAAATTATTGCACATTCTAATAAACCTCACTGACAGACATTTTTGCTGTTGTTCTCTGGGCGTTCATGCTAAATAAGCCTAGAAAAGGGTGGTCTGAGATAACCCTAAAACATGTGGGCACCAGCATATTCATGCGTTTATGCTCAGAAGCGCCCCTCCACACACACACACACACACACACAGACAGACAGAGGCAGAGAGAGACAGAGAGATCGCCAAAGTAACCCCAAAGACAATCCAGTAAGCTATTTCTTAGTCATTTTACAAAATACATGTCATTCAATTGCTTCATGATAGATTCTAGACCAGTGGGTTTGTCTGATGAGTAGATTTCACAGCTTCAGCACTACTGACATGTTGGGCTGGACAATTCTGTTTGGGGGATGGGGCGCTGTCCTGTACACTGTAGGTGGTTTAGCAGTGTTTCTGGCCTCTATTGACAACATGCCAGTGGCACCTTTCCAGTTGTGACAACCAGAAATGTCTCCAGACATTGCCACATATCCCCTGGTGGGAAAAAGAAATCACCCCCAATTGAGGACCATAGCTTTACGGTGTTTTGAAAAGTAATGCTTAAGTGGGCTACTTAGTCTTTAAGAGATATCTCCCCCATCAAATTAAAAAAAAGAAAAATAAAAGAATAGAAAAAGGGAAGCACATATACCCCACAGAACTATATTGCATGGCATTTTAAAATACACTCAATGGATGAGAGTGGGCAGTTGTTCATAAATTGTGGAAAGGGTTCTTTGAGATATATAATAAATGGCATTGCTTGTGTGAAGAATTGAGTCTCTCTGAAAACGTCCACTCATTTAGCAATTTACTAAGATCTTCGGTGTACCATAAATGAATGAAGGTGGTACATTTGATTGGCAATTAATCAAGGGTGCTTTAGGAATATTTGCAATCCAATAAAGAATAAAGGGACCCAAATGTTAAACTCTAGAAATTAATATTTAGGGTATTGAAACAACTATCTACTTTGAAAGAACTGCAGAGCCACTATCCTCAACTTGCTGGTCTAGATTCAATGGCAAGAGTCAACTACACCTGTAAGTAATGCATCAGGGAACCAAAGAGATGGTTTCAGAGCTCGGAGGATCTTGGCAGCATCTGGTCCAATATCTCATTTTATAGATGAAGAAATTAAGTCCCAGAGAGTTTAAGCCAATATACAAGGTCTTATAGCTACTCCAGTGGCTGAGGTGGCTTCAGGTGTGAAGTAACTATTGAGTGGCACTAGTGCTGTGTTCTAACCCCTGGGCTGGGCCGGTTACAGACATGACAGATGCTCTCCGTCATGGCACTCAGCAGCTCAGGGAGGACAGGGAGCTAGGGGCCACAGGGAAAGGGCCACTCACCTCCTGTGCGAGGCTGTGGGCTTAGTTCCCAGAGAGTCAGACTTACCTGGTGCTGGAGCGATGAGGAGGAGGAGGTGAGAAGGAAGTGATGGGCTCCAGAGGGAGAGAGCCAGTCAGGCTGAAAGCCACAGAAGGCGGACGCTGTTTAGGACTCAAAGTCATCTCTGGGGCTGAAGATCCCTGGGGCAGGGCAGGGAGGTGGGGAGACAGTTCAAAGGGGCCTCTTTTCACTACAGGTGATCTTTTTTTCACATCAAACCAAGCTGGAGGGCCGGCCGAGTGGTGCATTGGTTAAGAGCTGGCTTGGGACGCCAGAGGGCCCCGGTTCGGATCCCACATATGAGGGCCAGTGACACTGCCCTCTACAGCTAAGATGCTGAACAACAGCTCGACCTGGAGCTGGGCTGCCTGTGAGTCGCTGGCGACAGCGTAGGCTGCAGCCCCTGTGGCAGTGGGTTGCCATGGGCTACTGTGTGTGGCCAGCAGCCAGCGTGAGTGGCCAGCAGCCACAGTGAGCGGCCGTCCAGAAGCCAGCGACTGATCTGCCTCGCCCGGAAGAGCGCAATGATGGTGCCAACTTGGGCCAGTAAAGCAACATCCCCCACAACTAGACTGAAGAACAAAACGACAGCAACTTGTCTGTTCCCGTTCCCCCAATTCTCCAGCGCTGTTCCTATCCCCCCAATTCCCCAATAAAAATCTTAAAAAAAAACAAAAAACCAAGCTGGAAAAGCCTATAGCGGTTAACAGTGTCACAAGTATACCTATATAATTAGCCTACCTTAGTCTAATGTGTGGCTTCTGAAGCCTACAAAGACTAAATTTAAAAATAATGCCATTTCCAAATTGCTAATGTAGATCAATTTCTAGTATTTTCACAGTTAAACATTACAGAGAACTAAAACAAGCCACTCTGGTCCACCAGCTTCAAAAGTACAAATACTGTGCTGATGGGTCATAAATGGGAAATGTTAACATCGTAACAACTTCATTTTTCATTAAGAGCTTAAAAAAAGGTAGTAAAATTTCAGTCCTAGCTGACCCCATCTGTTTTGCATAGCTGACAGGCTTGAAAGTTCCCCTCTTTGGAACCAGTAATAGCCTTCATTCTCTTCTACACTGAAGAAAACAAAAAGGTGCCGAAATAAAAGAATAGGCTGCAAAGAGCAAAATGGCACCTGGGAAATACATTAAAATACAATGTTTATTTTTAATAGAAAACTATAAATTGAGGGAGACAACAGAAAATTTAAATTAAACTCTACAAAGCCAGCAATAGCGAAAGAGAAGCCGGAGCTTCAAGATTCTGCTCCGATTCTGGAATTGCAGGATTCCAGCATATTGTGGGACAGAAGGCTTTGATAGACAAGACCGTCTAATAAGATATTCAGGGATTAAGGCAGTGCTTCACAGACAGATGTGTCTATGTGCCAGTTGTTGCTAAGCTTTAGTTTTTCCCCCTGTAATGTTTAATTTATCACACTGGCGCTTTCTAAACTAGAACATCTGTAAACAAGGTTAAGAATGACCTCCTTCCAATTTTACATCCATGAACAGTGCCCCTTCTTCGTGCTCTAATTTTAGATACCTTAAAGATAAATAAATCTGTGGGAGGAGTAAAAAAGAAGGCTTGTTTGATACGGTAAAGTGTTCGTCTTGGGCGAATACAAATTTCCTTTCTGCCTGGCTCTTGGTGCACACAACTGACTCCTTCCTGATGCTCACGCCATATTCAGACAGCCCCTTCCCAGTCAAACGCAATTAAACAAACTTCTGCTAAATATTTAACAGCCTTGTGTAGTAATTAGCGGCAAATAATGGGAGCTTAAATTGATAATTGCTCAGAAATGTCCTCTTGCAAACATTACAAATTTCCTGCTCCTCCTTTTTTTCTTAGATTTTGAATCCCAGGAGGATTTTTGTTTGTTTGCTTATTTATTTATTTTTTTATTTTAGAAAAATATTTAGTTAGTGAAATTGAAATTACCCATAGTTACATTACTTGGCCCAAGACTTTGTAGTCGAGTTGGGTTGTTCTATCATCCACTGCAAGATTCCACTGGCCTTACTTATTTCACTTCTATTTTTGAAATCCATTGAAATTTAAAGTTATGTACCTGACCGCTGTTGGAGCAGGGCATTGATTTAAAAACTGACTGGCAGGCTTAGGATTTAAACTCTGGTCCACTAGATTCAAAAGGTCATCTGATTAGAATGGGAGAAGCACAAGGCGCTGTAATTTATATTCACAGGGTAACCTTTGTAGGGAGGAGGGAGAAAGGGCCCTTTCTGCTTTTCCTCTTGATATGGACAAGGATTCTCTCCACCCCAATTCCAATAATTATGAAAAACAGTTTATTGAACTTGGGCAAAAAGCAAAAGAAATGCCACTTCCTTGTCATGCATTATTTCTTGCATTAAAAACACTGCCACACTCTTTAGGAGGTTAAACTCACATTAAGAGTAAGTCAAACATGTAATAAATCATCAAGAACAGAGAAATCTCTTTCTCCATCATAAGCAACCAAATGCTTGTCTACTAGGGCATTTGCTTTAGGAAATACACATAAAAAGAACAAGGCTGTGGCAGGGTGATGTATTGAGTAACATAATTTACATAAGTAAACCATGTGAGTATGAGTGTGTATGGGCATGTGTGCACCTGTGTGCACCCAGGCCTGAGCTGGGTGTTGGTGTATGTGCTGTGGAGATGGGGAAAGGCTACACACTGGCATGGCTTCTACAGGTAAAAGCTGGGGTGGTCGCCTTTGATCCTTCTGTCCCTTCGGGCTCACAGTCCTGCATGTAGGCTGCAATTAGATGGAGCCCCAAGCAGCCCTGTTTTGAATTCTAAGAAATTCCTTTTAAAATGCAAATATTTCACAAATCCAATTCTATTTGGGTGTCTCTCACTTTAAATTTTAAAAAATTCTGGTTTGGTGAGAGGAGAAAAATTTCACACTCAACTTCGATGCTCTTTTTCCTTGCTTTTCCCCTGCACGTTTGTGTGGACTGTAGAAAGTCTCAAGTCCCTTTTCTTTAACAATCTCCTGCCTCCCCGTCTCCTGGAATCACCCCTGTTTATTAGCCAGTTCACACAAGCAAACAGAAGAAATCAGGAATGCTTAAGTGCATTTCTTATCCCGTATGGAAACTTGCAAGGTCTTAACATATATTTGTATTCACTCTTGTCCATCATTGCTTCTTGTCTCAGAATCGTTCAGGTCTGAAAACGGCAGAGCTGCCCCCACTCTCTGCCCAGCCAAGCAGAGCCTCTGTGTGCTTCAGAAGCCCGCACTTGAAACTCCCACCTTCCACCCACTTGCCAGGCACCTTTCCTGGCAATGCTTCTAGGCCTCTGTGGGACAGTTTCCTCACCCCTCGTGGTGCACAGAGCTACTAGAAAGACAGCCCTTTAATTCTCTCACACAAAGATGTGCTGTAGCTATGGTGAGGGTAATCTATAACCCTTGCATCCTTATATAATTTGCTACTCCAAATTAATTTTAATTCATTAGCATAAAGCAATATAATTAAAAAAATAACTCTTTAAAGTGAAGTATTTAACATGATCCTGGAAGAAAGACAGCTTTGACTAAGAGAGGGCCAGGCGGCAGGCATGGTGCATACTCATGCAAATTCAAAGGTGAGCTGTAAACAAGTACACACAGCAACACTGCCGAGCATAAAGGGCCGGCGACAGGAGGCCTCATTCTAATCAGCCCTCAAAGGAACCTGCCAGCCAGAAGTGGCACTTATTCTAATTTAAAGCCCTCATGCTTGCTTCAGTGTTGCAAAATTTATAAAAGAATAACTTCATTAAACCGCCTGGCACTTCAAACGCAAATGCAAACCAGCCACAACACAGAAGGAGCTGGACAAGAGGAAGAGACATGTTCCCAGAGAGTTGATATCTCGGAGATGAAAATAAAGTCTGCACTTGGGTGCTTCTCTCTCTGAGGATGAGGTATGCCATGCAACTTTCCTTCACCAAGGACTTCTGCCACAGGGCCCTTTACTTCTGTCAGGAGGCCTGTTGCCCCTATGAGTCTGCTTAATAACGCTGAAAATCACTCAAAGCAGTTCGGCAAGCCATGTCACATGCAGAAATACATCTGGCAGTACATAAATGAATGCTATTCAATGTTCCTTTCCTGGTCTGCAGAGGAGATTGACTCTGAACACACCACTATTACAGTTCTCATTTACTTGGGTATATATTTCAAGCTCACATAAGTTGTTGAAAAACTAATGAAAAAAAAATTTTTCCCCTTAACCTCGGTCCTCAAGAAAAAAAGCAATGATAAGGGTTAAGTGGAAACAATCTGCTGAAACCATGCATAGCACTGGAGAAAAGTTATTGTCACATCCTAAAACACACATTTTTAAGGAAAATAATTCTTCTCCCCTGAATCAAAGAATCAAAGAAAAGCTACAGTGAAATAACTTCAGGCTAGATTCCTAAGCTACAGTGCAGTTTGTGTCAGAACACACATCATTTCATGCTGAAATGTCAGCGTATTTCTCAAAATCATTTTTTTTGGAATGCAATGAAAAGACAAATTGTAGAAAAATGCCAAACCTCTCAGAAAGTACGTGTCACACACAAGTTGTACTGCGCACTGGGATCGAGACCCCAATAATGAATGACTCCTTTCCTGTTCAGTGTTTCTCATCACTCCAGTCCAAATTAGGGCTAAGATTCTGCTTCAAAGAGAATAGTCAGCATTCAAAAATACTGAAAATGGTACTCCACGGATGGATAAAATGAAACAACCTTAGGGTGAAATCTCTTAAGGTGAATCTCCAAGGGCAATAACAAGACTGTGTATCCCCATTGTTTCTCAATTTTGGAGTGGGCTTCTTGCTGTTGGTCAGAAGAGAGACCTGTTATAGCATTCACACGGGGATAACTAGAGGACACGTCGATACGATAGATGTGAACATTAAAGTTATCACCAAAAAATGCAGTGTGATGTGATTCATATTATTCCTAGGAACAAATATTGAAATTACTTCTCTATCATCCTTATAAATGTGTTTTATAGTGCTGAAAGCTCTTTTACATTCACATAATGCAACATTTCAGTGAAGGTAAGTTGTATTATTTTTGTTTTCCGTGAATAAAATAAGACTAATCAGATGGAATAAATGAGCTAATTCAATTACAGGCAGCCTTT